TCTTCGCTTGCTGCGGTTTGCCTACGTTGGACATGCGGGGCGCGAGCGTCGGGAAAAAACATTGCGGGGCTCGGTTGCAGCTGCAATGCTGGCTGCAAAAGATTTGCGGGCTTTTCGGGGGGAGCGCTCGCGTGCAATCAATTTCTAGATGCGGCCAATCATTCCGATGTTGATTGGTGTCGCTACACTTACTACGAGGTGGGGCTGAGTTGTACGTTTTGCAGTTGCTGTCTTGAGAGGTTCTTCCAAAATCTGCATTCTGAGCCCGTCTCGGTGTTGTGCAGTTCGCGCGTGGCGGGAGCGCCGGAGCCATGCGAATGGCTTCACCTAGGAGTCCGCCCTCGGGACTGGGGCTTGCAGTGGACGCCCAATAACCCCAAGCCGTTGCCAGCGCTATCGCGGCGGGGATCTCAGTTCCTGGAATTGCCGGGGGCGCTGCCGCGCCACTTCAAGCAGTTGCGGGGCCTCTTCTTTTGGCGCCTGGCCATGTCTCGGAATGCTTCGCCGCCTGCAACAGGGATCGCCACGATGATCCTTTAGCTGGCCCTGGAGATGTTGAAGCAGTCTTGCCAGCAGTGCGATCCCTACTCCGCTCTCTTCCTCGGTGCCCTGCCGCTGCTTCAGCGCGCCGCGCTATCCGGCCCCTGCGCGCCAGGGCAAGCTCGGTCGGGATGAGCGGCAGGGGCAAGGGCAAGACGCAGGGGAAGCATTGGAGAGCGCACTTGCGCGACAGTTCCTCTCGCGGCAAAAGCACGCGGGGCAGCCGGCGGCAGCGCGGGCGTCGGCCCAGGCGCTCCCCCAATCGCAGCAGCACGTCTTCCGCGAACTCGCGCGACAAGAAGGTCGCCAAAATCGCGAAGTAGCAGCGCTTCCTCTACCGCGACGACCCCAAGTACCGAAAGTAGAGCAAACGCGAGATGTAAAAGGAGAAGGAGGATAAGTTCTCTAACAAGGGCAAGTTCTTGGCCACCGCCTTGAACGCGGAGTTCGATGCCGGGTGGGCGAGCGCAGTCGGAGGGGCAGCCTTTCAGCTTCGCCCGCCGCCTTCCCCTGCGCCGCAGGACGCGGCGGGCCCGGCCCCCGGGCCCCTTTCGGACGCCCAGGTGGCACAGATCTCGGCGGTCATTGGCAACGCGACGCCGTCCAAATCGAGGCTCGAGACAGAGGCGTCGAGAGCCCGGCAGCGGCCGAAGACGATGTCCTCGCCCCGCTCCAGCAACATGTCCTCAGGCGCAGGCCCCGAGGAAGAAGGGAGATCGTGCTCGCCTTCACCGGGATATTCTTGGCAGAATGAGCTGAAACCGCGATCCCAGCGCACCCTGTGCAGAAATTGGCATTGGGATTGCGTATTTGATCATAGCGTTTGTGGCCCATTCGATTGGGATGATTTCGGTCGGGCACGTCACTGGGCAAAAGGCTACGTCGACAACGCGCATGGCATGGCTCTTGTCGTGGCGCGCGCGGTTCACATTGGAGGTCTCTGCTGTGTCAGTATCTCGCCCGAGCTCCGCAGCAGTCTGCTGGGCCCAACTTCGTGTCGGGGCTGCCGAGGCTCTTCCTCCCATGGTTAGTGCACAGGCAATGGTTCGGCAAGGGGCGCTAGTCGCAAAAAGAGGTTTACAGCACGCACGTGCGAAGCACGGACTTCATCTTGAATGATCGTGATGATCCTTGTTTCGCTGATGTGCCCAGAAACGGACATCATTTTCGTTCGCAGCGTTTTGGCTTCGCCTGCGATCGACGCGAGGTGCTCCAGCGCTCAAACCGCCGCGCGGTGGCCCCAAGGCAGGCAGATAGCGCAGGACGGGACATCGTCATCATCACCGTCGTCATCATTATCATCTTTCCCATATCCAGCATCATCACCGTCACCACCATCATTATTACCATCACCCTCATCATCCTCATTGACAGCATCATCGCCATATCATCGTTACCACCATCTTCTTCATCCATCGTCACCGATCACCAATACCATCACAATCGCTACCATCGTCATCATCATGCCTCATCATCATACTCATCAGATTCATCAGCATCCCCATCAGCATCATCATCATCACCGTCATCACCACTCGCGTGCGTTTCCGCAACCGGTGGCTCGAGCCTCGGCGACATCTTCTCGTCCAGATTCATCGCTGTGTGAGCCCGGCTCGTATTTCACATAGATGGGCGCGAGAACGGAATGCCTTGGCATGTTCAGAATTACAGCAAAGAGGTGCCAGGTGGCGATACTTGGCTGGCCACGCAACAACGTAGGTTGGTGCCTTGCCTTGTCTGCGGTCGGGAGGGGGTCGCAGCGCCTCGACGTCAAGGCCCCATCACGGTTCCATATTTAGGCCTTCGTTGTGGTTCTTGCGTCGCACAGGGATGTAATGGATCGGGACTTGTAACTTGTTTGCCGGGTGCACTTCCCCGAGTGTGCGGGGAAGGGGGTCAGAGTTTCTGCGAAATTCCTGCACGGGACTCGCGCTTATGGAGGACCTTTTCCTCTACACACCTCCACGCTGCCCGGGCCCCGCTTGGTGCTGGCGGTGGCGTCCCCACGGCACCCCGCTTCAGATCTATGCGCGCCTCAGTGCCCATTCTGCATTCTCTCGAGGACCGCCCCCTCCCCCATCGTTCATCTCTCCACTTCTCGTCGTCATATCTGTTTCCTGCATTTACCCCGTTGGATGAGGCCACGAGGTGCGATTGTATCCTGCCCCGCGAATGGTGTAGGATTCCGCATTCAGGGTCTATTTTTACATGGCGTTGAGATTGCACGTTCACGCATTTCTGCGCTTAAGTACTTGCATGATTGCGGGCTGGCCGCGCGTGTATCTTTCTATAACGTTAGCCACACAGCAGCACCAGTGCACTCTTGCCCGAATGCGCGCCTGCATGCCTGCACGGTCGACGCATGACCAAGCGCCCGAGGGGAGGGCACGGAGTGCGGAGTGGAGGGCTGGCTGCGATGGGCAGGGATGGGAGGAGAAGGTGCGACCTCCGCGGCGCGGTGACAGCCCTGAGCAGTAATACGTGGCCGTGTGGGCGTTTTTCCTTTTGGCGTGCACATCGTACTCGCCGATTGACTGTGCGACTCGCATTGGCGGTGTGCGCGTTCTCTGCGCTGTGCGCCCCCTCTGTGCGGCGCTGTGTGCTCTCGGCGGAGCGGAGCGCCGAGGAAGCCGCGAAGTACGACAGCATCGACGTGTATTACGAGGGGGACTACATCGACACGTACGAGGTCACCGAAGCCCTCATGGGCGACTGCCTGTGGGCCGTCGGGTCCATGGTGTTCGTCACGGTCTACATGTGGATCCCGCGCGGCTCGCGCCGACACTCCGAGAGGGACCCCGTCGGGGGGCCTCGGAGACTCGAGAGGGCCCAGAGTTCGGACAGGCTGTGCGGAGACTATCGGGAGCTGCAGGCGGAATCTTATTGGTAAGCGGAAGTTTGGCGAAGCCGTGTCATGCCCCGGCCAAGATGGGAAAATATGTTCAAGCGGTGTTCTTGGCCAGCTGAGAGGCTGGGTGTGCAGGCTAACCCTATTTTGTCCTTTCGGGTCCCTCAGCCAATCGAGGAACGCGCCCCATGCGAGCGCTCCAGAAAGGAAGAGGGAGGAGTGTGGGCGGAGGACGGAGGAGAGCGAAGAGAGGATGGAGGAACGGATGGGGTAGGGAAGGGGAAGGGATGGAAGAGAGAGGAAGAGAGAGACACATAATTAGCATGTCGAAGGACCCAACCATATGCAGTTGTGAATACCGTCGTTGTTAGTATCGCCTTCTGTGGATCTCCTCATGGGGCTACGAAGCGCGTGAAGAGTGTGCCGAAATGGACACGAAACGTGTGAGGTGTGTGCCGAAATGGGGTGGCGCCGCCATGCGGACTGCGCCACTGGGACCTTAGGTGGAGCTCCTTATGGGGCCACGAAGCGTGTGAGGGGTGTGCCAAGATGGGGCGGCGCCGCCATGCGGACTGCGCCACTGGGACCTCAGGTGGAGCTCCCTATGGTGCCACGAAACGTGTGAGGGGTGTGCCAAGGTGGGGCGGCGCCGCCATGCGGACTGCGCCACTGGGACCTTAGGTGGAGCTCCCTATGGGGCCACGGAGCGTGTGAGGGGTTGCCAAAATGGGGCGGCGCCGCCATCCCCCCCCCTTCTCCCGCCTGCCCCCCCCCCCTCCATCTCTCCCCCGTTCCTGCATGTCGGCACAATTCACTACAAGGGTGCCCCCGCTTAGTTAGCTGATCCGTCAGCGCAGTCAACCTCTGCCTAGCCGCCGACGCAAAAAGTGCAAGTAGGACGATCACAAACAAATATAGGGAGAGCGTAGAAAGGACGATTACAAAAGGGATTCGTACAATAAGAGAGGGTTAGTACATGAACGAGAGAGATTGGGAGTACAATGCATGTATTGTGTTGTTAGGACAATCACAACGCAAGGGTCCCATACACGCTGGACAATCCAGGCGCGTTCAGAAGTGTGGATCAGCGGATTCACATTGGTACCCATCGTGTTGGTGTGTGCTCTTGTTTTGGATGTTCCACCCGTCGTTCTCCTGCTCCTGCGCCTCCTCTACCTAACCCAATCTTCGTTATCGTTCCCATTCGTCTGCATATTTCCTCAGTTGTTCCTCCTCCCTCCCCGTCGTCGTCCTGTTCATAGTCATCCTCTATCCCCCCGTCTCTCTTCCTCCTCGTCCTCATCGTCTTTCGTGTCCCTTGCTATATCATCATCCGTCTCCTTATCCTCCTTATCCTCCTTATCCTCCTCCTCCTTCGCATTCTCGTTTCCCCTCCTGGTTGTTGTCGTCGTCCCCCTTCCTCCTTCCTCCTCTGCCCACCCAGCTTGGCATCTATCCCGCCTCACTCCTTCACACCTCCGCCCCCTTCTCTTTCCTCTGTCCTTATCCCCTGCTGTCCCAATATTTTCGTCCCTGCTACTTTCGAGGTATCCCAGTAGGGGGCTTCTGGAAGTTCGTGTTCAGCTTCGTGTTCAGCCTCCTTTGCATTATCATGATCTTCGTATCGATCCCAGGCTGCCTTTTCTGTCCTGCCTCCTTTCCCTCCTCACATCCTATTCTCCTCATCCACCTCCTCGTCGTCGCGCCCTTCGAGTGGCTAGGGCGATGAGGCTGTGGCTTGGTTGGGGCAGGACCTGTCTTAACAGGCAAGCCGGACGCGCCCGCCACCGCCGAGCAATATTGCCAACCACGCCTCGCGAGAGCCAGAGCCCCCCAGAACCACAGCCAGCAGCTTCGTTCATACTTAGAGGGTCTGCAGCAGGAAGGTGCGCAGCACAGACTCGATGGCGTGTCGTGGACCCTTCAATCCTGCTCGATGCCGAGCTCCCGAGGCCAGCCACCCGTATTATGCGCGCAGCGGGTGCCACAGGCCTTGCTCTTTCGGCCTGGTATCCACCACTCATTCGAAAGCTCGCGCAGGGTTGCACGTCTTTCGCGAACGCTCATGCCTGATGCCCCGATGCGCCGCCCGTTTTTTATAGTTCGTCAAGGCGTTTCGCTGTCGATGCTGGGTCATCGATCTCAGTGATAGCAGTGCCCTCCCTCTTTCTCCCTCTGTCTGGATTGCTCACGAGTGGTTTTGTGCAGGCGCCGTCCACACGGGCTGGCCTACGCACGCGCGAGTTGTTGGTGTTGTTGCTGCTGCTGGTGCTGTTATTGTTGTTGTGGTTGTTGTTGTGGTTGTTGTTGTTGTTGTTGTTGTTGTTGTTGTTGGTGGTGGTGGTGGTGGTGGTGGTGGTCGTGGTGGTGGTGGTGTTGTTGTTGGTGGTGTTGTTGTTGCTGTTGTTGCTGTTGCTGCTGCTGCTGCTGTTGGTGGTTCTCTCTCCCTTCCCCCGCTCCTCCTTCAGTGTCTTGGTGTCCGTTTGCTGGTCGATCAGCCTGGTCTCGACCGCTCAGACTGCCATTGATTTGTCCCCATCGCTATGCGATGTTTTGTCTCGGCGTGCAATACACGTATCGCGCGTATGGGATGGCCCCCCCACCTAAGGGGAAACGGATTTCTCGATATGTTATTTGCGATTTCCTAAACATGCTTGCGTTTAGGGGGTCTAATTTCGTTTCTTGGAAACTGGGCCTGCGTGTCGGTCTGGCGGTTCTGTGCTCGCCGTCGCCGCCCCGTCGCCGCCTCATCGCGGCCCGTCGTCTGGGCCTGGGTGTCGGTTTGGCGGCTCCGTGCTCGCCGTCGCCGCCCCATCGCCGCCTCGTCGCCGCCCGTCCTCTGGGCCTGGGTGTCGGTCTGGCGGCTCCGTGCTCGCCGTCGCCGCCTCGTCGCCGCCCGTCCTCTGGGCCTGGGTGTCGGTCTGGCGGTTCCGCGTGTTCGCCGTGGCCGCCCCGTCGCCGACTCGTCGCCGTCCGTTGCCTGTGCCTGGACGCGGTTCAGGTCGTCGTCGCCGCCCCGTCGCCGCCCAGATCTCACAATATTGATCTTTTGTGTAAAAACATTCGAATCTACGCCGCCCCCCCTCCATCCCCGGAATTATCGGCACTCCCTGAGTGCATTTTGCACATGTCTTTGCCCCACCGTTATTTTTTAATCTGACTTTGCGCAGCAGTAAGAAGAACATATCGCAGTAGGGGTTGCAATCCAATTGGCGCAAGCTGTTGAATGCGATGCGCATATTTCGAGGCCAGAAGGTTCCTGGGTGCCGCAGAAAGAGAGAGAGAGAGAGAGAGAACGCATTCAATATCTGGGCAGCCTGATTTCGAGTGACGGGAAGGTTGGGTCCGAACTCTCCCGTCGGCTCGGCGCCGCGCGGGCAGACTTCGACAAGTTGAAGCGAGTACGGGATTACGGGGCCATTCAACGCTGACGCAGTGAAGGAAGCTTGAGATCTTCAACGCTTGCATTCTCATAAAGCTTCCGTACTGTATGTATACGGTTTTTCTGAGCCAGGCGGAGACGAAGAAACACGACGCATCCCCTGTGAGATATCTGAGGCATATACCGCGCGTTTCTTTTTCATACATCGCCCGTGCAACGGATTCTAGTGTTTGCAGCAAGCAGGCGCTGCCCCACTGACCAATACTCTGCTGAATCGTCAGCTGCTGCTCCTGGGGCAGACTGCCCGGAAGCCATTTGGTGATCCGATCCGATGCATTGTTCTACGCCCTTTTTCGTGCAAGGTAGCAGCGCAGACCTTCAAGCGAAAGTGGGGGCGCCCCCGAGCAACTTGGAACGAACCTGTCTTTGCCAGCGCTGTCCGGGCCGCGGGGGGCGAGGAAGTCTTGCCGCAGCTCTGGCAAGAGAACACAATTTCTGCCGCAGTTTGGCGCGCAGCCGCGAAGCGTCATTGCGACACCGTGTGATACCATGTCTCTCTCTCTCTCTGTCTCTCCCTCGCCCCCAATATTCGGGAGGTATCTTATCGCCCACCCCTTCGTCTGTGTCAAGGAACATACTACACACGTACATGTGGTTATCACCAATCATTGTTTCAATACCTTTTGCAGCATATTGGACGAAGTCCACACACGCTCGTCGTCGCGCGAACATGCTGGCATTCTTCAAAACTTCTGGGCTCTTGAGGATTTCATCATCGAAATCCTTAGACCGAAATGCAACAAAACGTGCCTGTGCAAACGCATTTTTCAGAAGCGGGAGGTATGCGCGCGCTCTCTTGCGAATGCAAAAGAAAACCAAACGTTTCCTTCAACTCGCTCATTCAATGCGACCACGCGAGCCGATCGCGCGCGCATGCCGAAGTCATTCAAACGCCCTTGCCCGTTTCCTGGGGGGTGCGTGATCAGTGTCAAATAACCGAATGCGGGCAATTTGCGCGCGTCGCGCGCGGGCATGTCGAAATCTCTCCGACGCCTTCATCATCGACACGCGGACTTCACCATCGTCACCGGCGTGACCAGCACCGGCGCCGCCATTGGCTTTGCCGCCGTCATCGTCAACATGGCCACCATCATCATTGTTCCGCAGTTGTTGGCGCCACCATTATGCTGCGCCCTCTTGAGTCACCGACTCGCATCGGAATGCCCGCGCGCCGCCGCGCCTTGTGAGACGCGCATGGGAACCCCCGTCGGGGAGCGCCACCGCGGTTGCGTCGGTCGCTTCTCCCGTCGGCGCAGCGCCGCGAGACGTCGCGGAATATTGCGACCCCCGTGGCCAGGTAGGCTTCGCGGGAGGCGCGCTGCCGTCCGCGGCGGAGGTGCCCGCGCGCCGCGTCGCCCGCGGCGCCGGCGTCGACTTCGCGGAGGCGCGCGAGAGCGTTTCCGTCATTTCGGAGATCGAGTTCGACGACCGCAAGGCTCGCCCCCCTGTTTTTCGCCTCCAGGTGGGAGCGCGCCGCGCTCGTCTCGCGCAGCCGCGCGGCGGTGAAGCGCAATGCCGCCGGCGCGAACGGGCTGGCCTTGCGGCGCGCGCGCGACCTCTGCGTCGCCCTTGCGGCCGCCGCGCCCGCCGCCGCCGACGCCGCCGCGGCGGCGGCCAGCCCCCCGGCGGGGACGAGCCCGGGGTTTAGTTTTGCCCGTCCTCGCGCCCCTCGCGCTCTTTTGTGCGTGTTTCTCACTTCGCCCCCCCTTACCTTGATCGGCGTTCGAAATCTGTCGACGCCTTCGATCTCTGGTTCGCGGGGCAGTCGCGCAACGCTCCAGCCGCGCTTTACCAGGGCGGGCTTCTGCTCTCTCGGTTCCACGCCACCTTCGGCGCGTGGTTTCACGACGCGGTTTCCCGTGCCGCGCCCTCGTGCGCCCTCGGGGCGCCCGCGCTGGCGCGCGCGAGAGTTCGCGCGCCGGTTGTTGGCCCCCGGTTGGCAACAACAGCGGCTCCCGCTTGAATGTTCTTAACCAAATATGCCCAAATCGCTCTTTCATGCGGGATTTCGTCACAATCAGTGTGCGAATATTGCTCTCGCGTGGGGCCTCCTGGCAGTTTATTCAAACCGTGCGACTTCGACGCTCAGGGATCACGCTCTCGCTTTGGCCTTTCTCACCATTTACTTGGGAGTTGCGCTATCGCTCGAGACTTCTTCGCGACTCATGCAGGACCCACGCTTCAGCAACCCGCCTGCTCGACCTGGTCGCCTGGGCCCGCCTTCCCGACCGGCCCGTTATGGGTCTGCCCACCCGATCTGCCCGTCTGGTTATACCTCTTGTTTTCTGTTCTTTGCCCCCCTCCTGTTAATTTCTTCCGTGTTCCATGTTTGCTTGTCCCCCTTCTACCCGTCTTCTCTTCCCTTGTTCCAAAGGCTGCGCTGGATGCGCGTTGCAGGTGAGGAAGATATACTCCTAGGGGGTGCGCTCGAAGACGACAAAGGCGGGTGCCGAGGGTCTGGAATATAACCGCATGCCGAGGATAATAAAGCCACCCCCCCCCCTTAAGTCGTTAGAGTTTTTGCGTCGTCGGCCTAGAAGGGTTTCAAATATAGGCGGAGGGCGCGGAGGCCGAACTTCATTATCACTGGGAAAGTTCGCCATCCAGGTTACTTCCTTCTTATGTTGAGATAACAACATCAAGCGAAGCGAGCACGTTTTTTTCCAGATGTTTCAACCGAAACCAGTAAGTTTGGGAGGCAACCTAAAACCAAACGATTCATATTTCAAGGATGTCTCAAGCGGAACCAGCAATTATTTGAGGATGTCTCAAGCGGAACCAGGAATTAGTTTTCTTTGTGTTGCGTTATGTTTCTGTCTCTCTCTGTCTCTCTCTCTCTGTTTTTCTTTCTCCTCCTCCCTCTGGCGCCCTGAACTTGCTTATCGCTGGGGATGATTATCCTGGGAAAACTAAGCACATGAGCTACCCTACACGAGCAGATGAAAATTTTAATTTACAGAAAGCGTTTACACATTAAATCTAATAAGTTTTCAACTTTGGATTTTTGCTTCTACCTCCTGTTCTGCTTCTCCTGCTCTTCCTCCTTCTCATCCTTCTCCTCTTCCTGTTCTTCTTTCTTTATATTTCTCTTTCTATTTCTTTTTCTTCTTGTCTCCCTGGCCCCCTGAACTTGCTTATCGCTGGGGTTGATTATCTTGGGAAAACTAAGCACATGAGCTATCAGTAAGCGTTTACAAATTTAAATGTAAGAAGTTTTCAACTTTGGATTGTTGCTTCCTCCTTGTTCTCTCCTCATATTGCTCTTTCTCCTCTTCTTCATCCTCTTCCTCCTCTTCCTCCTCTGCCTCCCCTTCCTCTTCTTCTCTTTCTATATTTCTATTTAACTCTCTGTATTTCTTCTCCTTCCCCCTCGGGCATACCCCTAGGGCTTACCCCTGAAGCAATTCGTTGAGGAAGTCTCAACCGAGACAAATCATTGTTGAGGATGTCTCATAGAGGACCAAAGACTAAGGATCCTCAAGATATCTTTGGCTTTTTCCTCTTGATATCTCTTTATGCTGGCTCTGGCGGGCAACTTTTATTATCTCCCCGAAGCCCCCGAACTTTATTATCCCTGTGTGTTTATTATCCGCGGCATGGGGTTACGTACTGATTGGCACGTGAGCAGATAGGAGCGAACAGTTTCAAAATGATGTTTGCTGTTGGTGCTGTTGAATTATCACTACTGAAGACTAAGTACTGCTGATCCCTCCTCCGGTAGCATGTGTGGTTTTCAAGTGAAGTGCCCTTCCCGGGGCTCGCACCTTGTTTTTTATTAGGGGAAGTCTTCCTGCTTAAACTGCGCCCGTGGCCCCTATACAACAACAGCGGTTCCCGCCTGGTACCCCTTCACAATGTATTCCCAAATCGCGCTCTCGCGCGGGACTTCTTCACAATGTATGCAAGAATCGCGTTCTCGCGTGGGACACCCTCGCAAGTTATTCAAACGTTGCGCCTTCGACAGTCAGGAATCACCCTCTCGCTGTGGATTCCTTTAAGATTTATCGGGAAATCGCGCCATCGTTTGAGACTTTCTGGGGGTTCATGCAGGACCCACGCTTCAGCAACTCGCCTGCCCGACCTGGCCGGTTGGGCCCGCCTTCCCGACCCCCCGATCTGACCGCCCGATTTGCCTGTGTGGTTTTGCCACGTGTTTTCTGTTCCGGGCCCCCCTCATGCTAGTCTCTCTCGTGCTCCATCCTCCTCATTCCCCTTTGTCCCTTCCTTCCATCCGTCCTCTCTTCCCTGCCTCAGGCTGCCTCGGGGGCGGTTCGAAATGCACGTCGCAGGTAGAAACACGTATACCCCCAAGGGGGTGCGATCGAGGACGAAGAGGGCGAGTAACCGACTGCCCCGGATAATATAACACACACACCCTGAACCCCCTCTATTTCTAAAATCCCGGGTCAATAGGATTTAATTATGGAGAGGGGCGCGCAGGCCGAACTTGATAATCCACGGGGGAAGTTGCGAATCGAACTTGCGATCATCACATGTTTACTAGCAACAGCATCAAAAATGCTGAGCATGGCCATGGTGGTCTCACCATATCAGCTTCCGCAATCACGAGCGTGTGGCAGGGCTGTGGGACTCTCACCAGTTCAGTTTGCCCAAGTCACGAACGTGCGGCAGGGCCATGGGATTCTCACTTTCTCAGCCGTTCCCGAGTCAGGAACGCGCGGCAGGGCCATGGGGACCGATTGGATTTGGATTTTAAGCCTGCATGGGCGAGTTGTTCGAAGACGTGCGCAAGAGAGGTTTCTTGGCCAGAACGGCCAAAGACCTCCTATTGCGCAGGCAAGTTGTAGCCACGAGCCTCGAGATTTCTCGAGCCAGTCTTGTGCCAAGATCTGCAGGATCAGTCTACACGAGCGCCCAGGATCACCATCATCATCACCATCATCATCAGCAGCATCGTCATCATCACCATCATCATGACTTCTAACTGACATCACCTTCGCCGGAAAATCGTTGATTATCCCTGCCAGACCCCCGAACTTTATTATCCCTGAGTCATTATTATCCGGGCCACATGGCAATCGAGGTTCTGGCATAATTGAGCAAACAGCCTTAACATGATTGTTGTTGTTGAACACTATTTCTTCTTAAGAATAATTATTGTTGGGGCCCCTGGTGCACGACCCCCCCGCCGCGCCTAGGCCGCAGCCACATTTTCATCATTTTCGTGAGGAAGTCTCAGGCAAAACGGGGGCGTCCGGATCCGGTTGTGTTGTTACGATCGGTTTTCCCTTGCAAAAAATAAGCTAAAGTGGACATTTCTTGTTCTAACATAACCAAACTTCACGAATCCCTTGCAAAAAATAAGGTAAAGTGGACATTCGCGCGCGCAAGACGAAATCCTTCCAAAACCTTAGTGTTCGTAGCGATTTTAACATAAAAACATAAAAACAATGGTTTTTTTTTTTTCAAAAAAAATGTCAAACTTTCATCCCGCGCGCTCTTGCGGATTCGTAGGAAACCCAACACTTTTTAAACATTTCTGTCAAACGGGCTTTTGCGAGCAACTTTTTCAAACTTCTGCAACAACGGTTGCGCACCTGCCAGGGCCATCATCCCTGTCAAATAATACCATGCGGGACACATTCGTTTTTTCTTCGCGCGCGCACGCCGTCGTCGTCGGCCGCGGGGCCCTGAATAGTAGCCACGGTCGTCCGCATGCCACGAAGTGAAGTGTCCGAACGTCATAGGGCGGGAAGCTGGGTGTGGGTGGTGGCGAAGAGTCGTTTGGAAATTTGGTAGAGCTTGAACCGGCCCCCCCATAAAGTGGGGGTATTGCCCGCCTCCTATGAAAACCCTGGCACTGGTGAGAACGGAGTGTCCCCACGTGCTAGTAGTTGTTGTTGTTGTTGTTGTTGTTGTTGTTGTTGTTAGTGTTGTTGTTGTTGTTTTATCGTTATTGCTGTTATTGCTTTGATTGTTGTTGGTGTTTTGTTTATTGTCGTTGTCTCACCCGCGACCCACACGCGACCCACCCGCGATCCACCGGCGACCAACCCGCGACCCACCCGCGACCCACCAACACCACTGTTACGAGAAATCCGGCGCCTGCGGCGGGCTCGTTGCACGATTTGTAAGAAAGGCGCTTGCGTTTTTTTGTTTTTATATATATACATATATATATAATATTATTTTTTATTTTATTTTTTCTCACAAAACAGGTCTGCAGTTAACCCCGAAGCTACATTAGGTATGTCGGTGGCTGGATGGACCACGAAGACGCTGAATAATGCGAGCGGAAAGCACAATGTTAACACATGTGATTCGAAAGACACTTGTAATGTTACCGCGATGATTGGCGCATTGGCGAATCGTCGAATTGAGCCCTTTGCGATATGAAAGCCGACGGTAGCGAATGGGGAGTGTGGTGTGGCGCACAGGCGAAACGCGTCGGTCACGCGTGATGTATCTGCCTCCTACAGCTTCCTCATCGAAACATATGCATGTGTATGGAGATACGCACGTGTGTGAGCGAGTGCGATTTTTGATTCCGTTTTACATCATGCGTACGTGAGCCACTCCAGAAAAATTAACAGCTCCATTTCGAAGGAATGGAGACGCGGCGGGCTCCCCGTGGCGGAAGGCGGCGGAAGGCCCGCGAATGCAGGGTAAAGTCAGACAAGGGGACTTCGGGAAAGAACGTAAGCATAAGCCGTGGGAAGTGCAAGGGTAGAATGTGTTGTCGGTTTCTGTCGAATGTGTCAACGCATGGACAATCAGCTTCGCATGCGTTAGAACGTGCATTACGAAGGTTGCGGGCACGGTCCGAATGTTTCCATAGTTTGTGGTTGGCGATTTTTTGCTTCAGACGAAGGATACGCCATACAGAAAAACGAGTGGGGAAGCAGTTGGTAATGTTTTTTGTTGTTTGCGGTTATATTCAGAAGTGATCATCGTGTGTTCGCCTTCGCAGCGGGGCGTTGTTCACCAACTCACTGTCAGGCGACCAAGTAATCTTTCCGAATACCTCCGTGTATGTCAGTCAGCCAATCGTTGCCCTATTATCTTCGGCATCAACTTCGCTGTTTTTTTTTTTTGAGATCGTTGTGTCATCACAAATGCGCCTGCTGCCTCCGTGCAAGTCGCATACGTCCTGGCTCCATCTTCCAAGACAACGGTTGCATCGTTCCTGTCCCCCTTGGGGGAGGTGCAACGCATTTGTTTTGCCAGCAAGCGGGAGAGTGATAAGGATGGTCGGCAGGAGGTGTTGGGACTGGGCGTGTGCCAGCGAGCAGTTATCAGAGGAGATTGCTGATGACGGTGATGCTTGCAACGGCGATGATCACGTTGGATAGGAAGAGGATATGTGTGAAGGTGGATTGATACGCTTGGGGGCAGGCAAGCAAGACTGCTCGCGTGGGCGGTGGGAATTAGCGTGGAACGGAGGCGTTGTTTCGGACGCCAGGGCCCTCTCTGTAATGTCCTGACGTTTCGGAGCGAGTTCTAGGCGAGGTGGTGTGATAAACAAGGTGAAACAGCACCACTGAAACAAAGTGGGGTGTCACTTGTCAAATCAGCTCCATAAAACGACCAATCCTGACTTCTTCAGGGCACCTCTCAGTGGCCTCTTGCTTTCATCGTGAGTCTCTCTTGGGACCCTTCTGAAAGCCTTTGGAGCTATCCTGGGAATCTCTTGGGCCTCTTCTGTAAGTCGTTGTGGTCCTCTTGGGCTATGCTGGAGTCTGGCGACGAACAGGGGAGAGCACCTGCATTAGCGTACTTAGGGTTCTTGGGGCCCCCCTTTGGGCTCTCTTTGGCAGCATCGGCGTTACCCCATCGAAATGCAGCGGATTCGCTTACGAAGGTTCATCGGTTGTTTAATGAGTTTGTTGTGCTGGGGTCTTGGGGCCATCGTTGGGCCTCTTGGAGGTATGCTGGAGGCCATCTTGGGGAACAGTTGGGGCAATCTTAGACTCATCTGCGGCACTTTCAGACGCTCTGACTCATCGCGCCTTGCCCCACCACACGCCTCCGTCGTGGTCATTGTGACAATTTGTGAAATGTATCTCATGAGCTTAAGGTTTCTCCGTCCGTGTGCGCCTCTGTTGGCTCAAGCCGTTTCACTGATATGAGTTGTTTGGCCCCTTGAAGGAAAATACCTTATCTTCCCCTCCGTCATGGCGTGCCTTTGAGAAGGGTTCACCACACAGTGGTAGCGGAGCCGGTTAGCTGGCTGCGAGGCAGCGGCGGCCGGCTTCATGGCATCATCTGCGCACTCCGACGATTGTCGGGATGCGCCTGGCGGAGACAACAGGACGGACGCGGGCCTCCAGGAGGCTGGACGATCCGGTGCGAGGGCATCGGACGGCACGGCAAGAGCCGCGCCAGGTGGTCAGGCAGAGATGCGCATCATGGACATGCGCGAGCTGAAGAGTGTCGTCAGAGCAGTGTTCACGGAGATGACGAGCTGGGCGTCCCGGTCGTGGGAGGGTTACGGTTGGGGCACTGGCGGCTGGAGCAAGTACGGCTGGAAGGGGCAGGCCTCGAGTTTCGAAGCCGACCGGCATAGTACTGAGGAGGCTCCAGGCGCCCGACGAGAAGATGCCGAGCAGAAGGGCGACGACGACGACAGATGGCAGCAGGACGACCCTTGGGCGAAGGGACAGCGAGAAGGCGGCCGCGGCTGGTCGAACGGGGGTTGGAACGGCGTCGGCGACTGGGGCTCCGGCACGTGGTGGTCCAGCGACACGCGTGCTGAGAACTCCGGAGCATCGTGGTGGTCCAGCGACCAACGGAAGAACGATTTCTCACACCCGGAGGCCTGGATGTCCTGGTCAGACTACAAGACATGGAAGCGAAATATTCAGAGATGGCAGAAGAATACGGACGTGTCAGAGAAGAAGAGAGCGGATCGAGTGATGCGGCAGCCCCCGATCGAGTTGCAGCGCAAGCTAGAGCACCTGAAGGACGACGTATTGGAGAGCGAAGGCGGCGGGCCATCTTGTCTGGAGAACGCCAGGGAGATGAACAAAGAAGAGCTGCGAGGGAGTGCCTCCTCCAGTTCCATCGGCAGACCTCAGAATCGTTGTGTGACTACACGGCAAGAATGGACGTACGGTTCGACAGGCTGTCGGGCCAGGGGCTCCCATTCCCGGACGAATGGAAGCGCATGTTCCTAGAGGAGGGCGCAGCCCTCGACACCCAGGGAGCCCAGCTGGTCAGGTCCCTCACACGGGACTCCAGGACGTACGAGTCGACAGTGCGAGCTCTTCGCGACCTAGACGTGACCAAGAAGGAAGCGCTGAGCTCCACCAGGGCCAAGACGACGCTAGTGACAGAGAGGCTTCCGCAGTCCCTCGAGGAATGGAACCCCGGCGACTTCCACCACATCGAGGACGTGATGCTGGAGTTCAGCGATGTCAGCTCGATGAACACCGAGGACGAGATGACGCTGCTGAACGCCGTCGACGAGAAGGATCTGCAGGAGGAGGAGGTGCCGGAGATCCTCGCCCAGCTCCAGGCGGAGCGGAGGAAGACGTGGAAGCAGAATAAGGACTACAAGCGGCAGCTGAAGGTCGACCGCAAGTACTTCCAGCGTCCTCCTCCGGTCCCAGGAGCTCTTGATGAGCGACCTTCCCCGTCTGGACGAGACGACGGCAGGCGTCGGAGCAAGAGGGGTCAGGTGAGAGATCGTAAGACTCGTCTCCCGATCTCGGGGGTGATCAAGAGGGCGCGATGTCGGAAGTGCAAGCAGAAGGGGCACTGGGGCGACGAGTGCCCGAGCTCCTCTGCCCCGAAGCCCCCCCCGCCCTCCGCGCTCATCACCCTGAGCGACGGCGGCGGCGAGCGCGGCGCGGTCTTCATCGCGCTGCAGGAGGGCAAGGACTGGATCGACAAGGCTCGGGATCACGCCGGAGGAGGCGCCTCGAGTGAGCCGATGCAGCTGGCGGCGGGGCGTCTGAGGGCTCCTCCCGGCACCATGATCGTAGATGCGGCGGCCGGACAGGGCCTGGTGGGCCAGGGCGCCTTCCTCGCGTGGGACCGCGACCTGAGGCAGAAGGGCCACAGGTCGGTCAAGGTTCCCCCTCGGCACCGGAATGCCCGGGGCATCGGCGGCTCCGTGGGGATTTTGTACAGTGTGCTCGCCCCGACGGGCATCGAGCGATGCATGGGCGCGCTGGAGCTCGACGTGATGGGCGCGGACGTCCCTCCCCTCATGCCGATCTCCCTCCAGGGCGTCCTCGGGGCCAGCATAGACCTCCCTGAGGGCCGTGTCCTTGTCAAGAAACTGGGGTGCTCGACAGACCTGACCAGCCTTCCTTCGGGTCACAGGTATCTGCAGGCACGCGTTCCCTTTCCCCCTCGGCAGTCCTCTCCCCTCTCCGATCTTCGTCTAAATCCGAACCGCGACGACGACCATATTCGAGACGACGACGACGGTAACGACAAAGACGGGAAGAAGGACAGACTGGACTACTACGTGATTCTGGGGAGCGTTCTGAGGCGTGTTCATCTGGCTCCCCGAACGTGTCTGCGGTCTCCTCTAAGCTGCTCAGATCTTCCGGTTCCTCTGGGGTCCTTGGGATCGGTACGCTCTACATGGGTTATGGATGCCTCGGGGAACAGCTTCCACATGAAGGACGACTGGCAGGGTAAGCTTTCCGAGGGCCTCCAGGGTTTCCAGTGGACGGGCCATGCCGACATCGCCATAGCTTCCGGGGATTCTCGAGCAGCCCGCGAGAAGCCCATCTCTCGACCTCCGCGATCAGACCGCCATGGCGGCCGCCGCGCCGGAGGCGGAGCCGGCGACAGGCCAGGGGGCTCGGCAGCCCAAGGCCATGCCCAACTGGACGGGGCTGATCGTGCTCACCCTCCTGGTGGCCGCGGTGAGGTCGAAGGAGTTTCTATACATACTGCTTGGTGAAAGATCGTCTGTGGACCAAGCGCACCCTGAAGCACTTGAAGAGGCTGGACGTGTTTCAGATGAACTGTACCCATCCGATCTCGGCGCTGAGGCACGACAGCAATGGTCACGGGCACTGGTGGAACTGCACCCAATGTTCCCTGAGGATGAGCTATCACGACAACAAGGGGCCTCGGATCGCGGGTCCTCGGGAGGAGACGCACGACTTGCTGGTCCCGATGCTGAACAGCCGCCAGAAGGGGCGGCGCTCAGAGATCCCCATGGCCCACCGCAACATCCGCGCCAACAGGATGATCGGTCAGGGCGGCGCGATGAAGCCAGACCCAGCGGACGTGGAGATGGCCCCGGCCGACCCGACGGAGCTGCCGAAGGCGACGAGGACGGGGCCCCCACTGGCGTCGAGGCGCCGCGCGAGCGAGAGCGGCTCGTCCTCAGCGCCTTCTCAGGTCCAGCAGCTGAAGGAGCCCCAGGAGCAGTTGCGCTCGATCGTGGTACAGCAGGGCCAGGACATGGCGCAGATGCTGCGCATGATGAACGACCAGAGCCAGGTCTTGCAGCGTCTGTCGACGGCGAGCTCTTCAGCGTCAAGCGCGGCACCGGGTTCCCCGATTCCGCCGCGCCAGTGGGAGGTCGTGGGGCCGTCCCCGGAGACGCCGAGCAGCCCGCAGCAGCGCTGAAGGTGAAGGTTGGCCAGCTGACGGAATTTCTGAGCCTTCTTGAGGAGACAGAGGTCTTACTCACCGGCAGATCCAAGACCGCTCCAGACGGGCAGACCCTCGCTGTGTTTTCCCCCTCGTCCAGGGCCATCTCCAGGTTATCAGGGGGCGAGTCGGTCATGGCTCTGCAGGTGATCTCCACCGGAGACGGCCTAGACAATGCACGCTGGGCGCTTTTCCAGCTACCTCTCTTCGAGTCTTTTACGGAGGAGAGCGTCTTGAACGACGATAACGAGGTCACCGTGCCCAGGACCTTTGTCGACAAAGCTTCCCCTATTCGTAGACCCCGATCCCGAGGCAAGAAAGCGACCCCAGATAGAAAGGTAAGGAACCCGAGGGCTTTCTGGAAATCTTCTCTCCGGAGAGGGTCGGGCCGCGTCTACGGAGGCGCGGGGTCGTTCACCCAGGAAGTTGGGACCTCGAAACAGGATGGGATTTTTCGAAGAGAGGTCATCGCATTCGAGCTTTGAACTGGATTGACCACCATGAGCCTTGGGTGGTGATGGTGGAACCCCCCTGCAGAGCGTTTTCCAAAATCCTGGACCTCGGGC